TTATTTTATTTTAGATTTTTTATTTTATTTTAGATTTTTTATTTTATTTTAGGTTTTTTATTTTATTTTAGATTTTTTGTTTTATTTTAGATTTTTATTTTATTTTATTTTATTTTAGATTTTTTATTTTATTTTATTTTAGATTTTTATTTTATTTTATTTTAGATTTTTTTATTTTATATATTTTTAATTTTTTTATTTTAGGCCTTTTTGTGATTTTTAGATTCTTTTTGTAATTTTTAGATTTATTTTTTACCTTTTTTAATTTTATTTTTTGATTTTATATATTTCTAACTTTTGCTTTCTTTTTTATTTTTTTAATTTTATATATTTTAACTTTTTTATATTTTATTTTATTATCTAGTTATTTTATTTCTATTTTACATATTTTTAATCTTATAATTATTTTTATTTTATTTTTAAAATTTATGTATTTTAATTTTTTATTTTAATTTTATATATTTTTAATTTTTAATTTTACATATTTTAATTTTATATTTTTATTTTATTTTTCTGTTTTTCATTGTTTATTTTATATATTTTCCATTTATTTAATTTTTAATTTTTAATTTTTAATTCTACATCTTTTAAATCTTTTTTATTTTCATTTTTTTAATTTACAGATTTTTTTTCAATTTTCCTTATTTTTTAAATCGTACATACTATATTTTATTTTATTTTTATTTCCTTTAATCGTACGGCTTTTTATTTTTAAAACTTTTTTTAATGCTAGATAAAAAAAAAAATTAAAAAAAAATTTAAAAAAATTAAAATACGTATTTTTTCCTTTTTTTGTTGTTTTATTTTCTGTATTCTAAGTATTTCTATTCTTTCATTTTACTTGTGTAAATTCGATATTTTTTTTTAATTTTTTTAAAATTCTTTCGATGTGTTTTTTTCACTTTAATTTTTTTAACTGATTTTTCTTCTTTTTTTTTAACACTGACAATGATGACTTTTCCCCGCGCAGATTAAGAACGGCGGCACCAACAGCTGCCTGGACGTGGGGGAGAACAACCACGGGGGGAAGCCGCTCATCATGTATCCCTGCCACGGGATGGGGGGCAACCAGGTGGGCCAGCGCCCCCCC